AAAACGCTGGTGAAACGCTGGTGAAACGCTGGGAACGCTAGATCGATATGCATCCTCTCCCCGGCACTGCCGCTGGCGTACGCTGGAAGCGCTACGCTACGCTGCGCTACGCTACGCTACGCTGCCGCAAAGTATAAACGCAGCCTAAGGCAGCATGAGTGTGCCACCGCGCCTAACCCGCTCTCTACCGGTTGCTGAAATGCGTTTGCGACAATAGCTGGTAGAAAACGAGTGATACAACCGATATTACAGTCTTGTCGCTTGCTCGCTTTAACAACTGGTGGAGAACTAGTTTGGCACCGCGAACTCATTCCGCCTGGCTCATTTCTTATAGTTTAGTTCCCTTCGTCCGCAGAGTACTAGACTATAAGAATATCGCCGCACAACCTTTTACTACTCGCCATTACCCCTACTCATCACTTTTTATACCAGTATAGAAACTTCTGGAAAATCATTTTTCACGTAATCACACATCGATTGAAATTTTATTTTTGCTGTCATACATTTTCATACGTGAAGAAACCTGTGTGTGAGAACATTAACCATAAATGAGTGCATGGTATGACACGACAAGACGATAAACCGTTCAGTAGCCAATTAAGAGTTCGTGAAGGATCTTCTGCACAATACGACGACAGCCTCTAGAAGCCTTTCGTGGCTGCAATGTAATCTTTAGTGAATGCCTCCAAGTATGGATAGACGACTTCGTCCAGATACTTAAATTTCTTCAAAAATAGTAGTAGCACTTGGTGCACATAAAGATATTGTTGCTCTGTCTGGAAACAAAAATAACGCCTAGAGATGTGAAAATTTTGTTGAAATAAGATTATGGTTTCGCAATGAGCACAGTATACCTGCACACTGTTATTCCTTTGTTTACGCAGTTCTAGCAAGTAACCACTAATCTCGAGCAGCGGTTCATTCCGGCTTAGTAGCTCCAGAGCATGTTCTATGAGTACAATCGAACCGGTACGACCTATTCCCGCTGAGCAATGTACGATTATTGGAGTTCTAAATCGTTGCTGATTTTCAATGACTACAGACAAGAAGATATTCGTTGCTGACAGGTAATAAAAGAATCTAGCACTTGCAAACTTACGCAGACTCCCTCAATTTCCCAAGAAGCAGTACGGGAGCAATATCGGCCTCAGGTACACCTCGATCTGGCCAGTCCTGCCACTGATAATGATTGCAGATATGTGTTGGTTGTCCAGGTATATATATCTGTAGATGGCTGACACGAATTCTGACCTTCGTTGCAATAGAAAACGAAAACTGAAACTTCTCTGGCTAAAGACAAAGAGTGGGAGAACATTCTACTAAACTGCTACATTTCCTTGTGATCGCACCATTACGCTGAGAATAACGATTACCATGTTCCATGGAAATCAAATTGTGAAGACTGTGCTATTCACATCTAGTGATATAAAGGGAGCGGCTCATAAAAAAAGGCACTTCGCCCACACAAAGCATCATCAAAGTTCACTACGCAAAGGGAGACAAGCTACATGAAAGGATCACTCCCGCTCTCACAGTCACAACAAGGTCAAGCCTCGTCGTCGAGATCAAGACCGCCTACAGTAACAGCGTATTCTGAAGCAGCTGCGTAACTCCCACGATTGAGTTATTACCTTTTGGATCCCTGGAGAATGTCGCTTCTATATTTTCGCGCAACGCCGCTGGCCTATTTTATTGTTCATGACTCAACCCTTACAGTCCACTTTATCGTTAAGCGCTATAAGATTCCAGGTACGCCGGTTTCACAGATCATAAAGGTACAGCGGCGGAGGTCAATGTCGGTAGTGGTTGTCCACATTACTCATTTACCCCTTCGTCCCGTACGGGAATTTCAGGGGTAGCCTTCATGAGCGAAGTGCCTTTTCTATTGACTCCCCCATAAAGAAGCGAAATGACGACTTATGTGATTATTTAAATGTGAGGGCATTTTTGTGAACTTCCGACAGCTTCGAATGGCAAATTTGCTTTTGTACGGGGTACTACTTTCAATGCCTACTCAGTCAGCCAGCTTGCCAGCTTTTTATTACTGTCTCCGTACTTCACAACAAGAAGAGAAGCATACACACAGAGGCACATGATCCAACAAGCCATTGATTGGTGAGAGGAGAGGCAGCTCGAATACGACTCACTACGATGTGGTAGAGGGGGGTGGGCACACCTCCGCCGGTCCCGCAGAGCAAACGACTTCTCTACCGAATGTTAGGCTGCGTTTATACTTTGCGGCAGCGTAGCGTAGCGCTTCCAGCGTACGCCAGCGGCAGTGCCGAAGAGAGGATGCATATCGATCTAGCTTCACCAGCGTCACCAGCGGCACGCTGGCGTACGCTAGCGGCACGCTAGCGTACGCCAGCGTTTCTCCAGCGTTTCACCAGCGTTTTGCTAGCGCTTGCAGCGGCAGGGGAGTAGAGACTATGTGGCCGTGAGAGACGCGGAATCGACGTGTATTGTAGAGACCATGTGGCCGTCGGAGACGCAGAAGCGATGTGCATTGTAGAGACTATGTGGCCGTCGGAGACGCAGAAGCGATGTGCATTGTAGAGACTATGTGGCCGTCGGAGACGCAGAAGCGATGTGCATTGTAGAGACTATGTGGCCGTCGGAGACGCAGAAGCGATGTAGAGACTAAGGGCGAGTGAGAGACGCGCAATCGATGTGTTTTGTACCCTCCAGCTCTCCCATAGTCTCTACTCCCCTGCCGCTGCAAACGCTAGCAAAACGCTGGTGAAACGCTGGAGAAACGCTGGCGTACGCTAGCGTGCCGCTAGCGTACGCCAGCGTGCCGCTGGTGACGCTGGTGAAGCTAGATCGATATGCATCCTCTCTTCGGCACTGCCGCTGGCGTACGCTGGAAGCGCTACGCTACGCTGCCGCAAAGTATAAACGCAGCCTTACTTCAACGCCTTCTTGCAAGGTTACGAAGCTCTCTATAGGCTAACGTGGCTGGGCCCCAGTACACCAAGATCTCGAGAAGAATTACGGCTTCGGTCGCTGCGGTTGAACGGGAATGCCAAGCGGGATGGTTCGGCGCGACGCCAAAACCGTTTTTGGGACCCAGCTGTCGAAGCGATAATCGACAATAGTGGAAAACTGCCGAAACGGATAACATGGTACAGTCTCATCGCTTGCTCGTTTCAACATCTGGTGGAAAACGGAATCACCAAACCCACCCGCCTCACATGCTCCTCCTTTCGTTGCCAACAAGGCTGTAGATATCTTCAAAAAAATCAGCAGACAAATAAATAAAGGAGTGTCATAAAGCGCTATAGTCGCAGTATTGTGAACGCGTTATTACAGCCTTATCGTTGCCATGCGTGAATGTCTAATACTTCTGGTTGCTCTTTGGAGGGAATACCAGAGTTTCTTCACTTTCGCACGCGTTCTTCGTTTTCAAATTGTTCTGCCCAGAGCGACCCGAAACCCATTCTTCTTAAATGTGACTGATTGGTTCTGCTCTTTGTGCTCTAGCGATATCTTATGAGTGTAGCAAATAGCGCGAGCATTACGCTGCTACGTGATGTAAATCAGCAGAAGACGTGACAATGACTAATTCCATGGGTCGAGACAGACAATTTTGGTATAGAAGAGCAATGACGTTGTAAGAGGAGAAACACAACCTGTTCCTGTTTTTTACACAGTACTTGTACATCACCATCGAAAGTTAGACGTTGACCGATTTGCATCGGAAAATACACTGCACACTTCTTCGTGTTCTTAAAAAATGGAACATGAGAATCATGGTCATGATTTTTCTCGAAGGCTCACTGTACAAGAGTGGGAAGCTTGCCGTGTAGAGCGGCAGGTGTGTTATTCTTGAAATTTGGGAGTGCACGGCAAGGAAGTCAGGTCCGTTCCGCGACAAGCAGAACACTTCGTGGAGGGGGTCCTAGCGCGAAAGGCCGGAGAGCAGATAAATGGAGCACTGCGGCTGCTAAGGCATCAAAAGGTGCAAAACAGGTCCTTTTTCAGAGGGAGGAGACTCCGGGTGTATGAGTTACCTAGCATGCCTGAAAAGTTGGGATGTATGAAGCCGCAGTAGTATACAATACCAGAAGTGAGTGCGCATAATAAAAAAGCTGACGCGACCCAACGCAACGACACACTTCGCGTCGACACGCTACACTTACAACAGCGGTTCAAGGATACACATAGACGCGAACGCAGCTGCAGACGGGAATCAACCGGTGCCGCCACTCACGTACTGACTTCTTCTGCCTTGAGGGAACGCGTTGCTCAATCGCGCAGTCTGGTATCGATTGGCACAAAGGCTGCGCCCATCGATTCTCCATACGGCTGCGTTCGTGTCCATAGCATGGGGCGATATCGCAACTGTACCGCGTCGTTGCGCTTTACACTGCGTCGACGCGCGTCATCGAGAAGTCTGAACGCTACCGAAGAGGTTGCGTTGAAGTTATTTGTAGATCTCAGAGGCCTGTTCAATTCTACATGCTATTGATGTCTCCGACCGATATTTGGTGCAGCGTCGGGTCAAGCATCACGTCGGTACGACCCCCACCTCAGAAAGGGGTGTCCGTGCGACCCCCCCCCCATCAGAGACTGCGGGGTGTACAGTCGTCATCCTTGCACTTGATAGGGGCGTGTCGGCGAGAAGGAGCGTGCACACTGTTTGAAGCCTTCTCAGCCTTTTCGTTGAAACGCGTATGCGACAAAAAGTGATAGAAACGAAGGATATAACAGTAATGTCACTTCTCTGGTTCAACGATTGGTGCAGTACGGGTGCTGACGACCGCGCCGCACGCAGCCGCACTGACATTGACTATCAAGTGCAAGGATGACGACTGTATCTACTGTGTTCTTCAGAATGTAGCTCTATATGTTGTGTGTTATGCGATACAATCGTACAAAAGTACTGAATTTCGAAGGAACTCGTTTTGAAGAAATTAATGCAGGAAGTGGAACTTCGAAGAAACCTTGCTATGATGCCCTCCAAACATAACAACGCGAAGCCAGTGCATTGAACTACTGCAGCTGCATCGCGTATTGGTATTAGAGCTATTGGTCCATCGAATAGCATTTCAAAAGAGTGTAACTTCATTAACAAACCATCTTTCGCAGAGCTGTAAGGACGATTCAAGTTGTATGGCCAGGCTCTATGCGAAATACACTACAGGTTTCATCAGGCGTGCAGCTTCTGACCAAAAAAATAAGGCGGATTTGGGCGATCACGAGTTTTTTACATTCCTATAGGGTCAGCTTCGTTCTGACCTAACGTAGAGCGCAGTTCCACACGGCACTGGAAATTAGGTGTTTTTTTTTGAATAAGCACAACTGCTTTGCTGTAGCTAAACTGCAGCGGAAATTCGCCCGTCGCGGAAAATCCGCAGAAATAGCGCGGAGAATTCTGCACAAACGCAAGTTTTCAACATTTCGAAGGCCATAGCGTTGATGAGACAACGTAGAACGGACTGCTACATGGCTCTGAGAAACAGAAACTTTTCTCTCTCTAGTGAGCACCACATTTTTGCTGAAGTCAACTACAGCAAAACCCCGTCGCGGATTTCCAATTGAAAGTCATCTTCAACTGTTGCATGAGAATCTCTCCCCTGCAAAGCCCACATTTCCATGTAGGAAGCTCGGTAGGCGTCTCGCACAACTACTCTTCGTATTCATTCACTTCAAAAAAGAATTGATACACGGGGGGTCAACTTCTCCATGGAATGCGCCATGTACTCGACTTTCTTTCCGAACGCATCACCCACCCTGCAAGCTACGTCGATGCTGTGTTCAGTACTGATCTCTGCAAATACGAGCCCCACCCTCTCGGAGGGGAGCCGAGTAGAAGCCCCTCGTCGCGGATTCCGCGACGTTTGCTTGGTCCTTGTGCACTGCACGATTAGGTCATACGCGACGCTCAACGATATAGTGCTCTTTCGAAGGTGAGCTGAGTGGAATCATCTCATAGTCAGAGCAGACTTCAGTACCTCAATCAACAGCGTACCACCTTCTCAGTGAAAGGGCGCAGCGCGCACGACGTCGAATGGTAGCGCATCATGTAATGACAAGCCTCTGACTTCTTTGTAACACACTAACGAATTTCAAAAGCGGCACATTTCTGTGACTGCGGTCATGGCCACCCCACTGGGAAAGGTCCACTTTGTACAATTGTGATTAATTTATAAAGGGTGCGCAGCGGTCAAGATTCCCCCATTTCTCATAGAGAATAGTGAAAGGCTTAACATCACCAACCTGCTCCATAAAATTGCAAAGCATGAGCACAGACTTCGATTTCTCCTGCACAACCATACACCAGAATTCGGAGCATGTTTTTGGGAGTGGCGCCTAAGGAATCTCTTACATCACCATTGTTTGTGGTTACATCCCCACTCCAGATATCTCCCAAGTATCTAATCATGCCTTTACCAGACACATGGAAACATACAAGACCAGAAGTTACCTGCGTACAAATAAATCGTTTCGAATTATTTGGTGTCGCTACGTAATTCGCGTGTATGTACGGCACATTTCCTATTTTAACGATAACACGCCGGTGATCTAGACAGCCGACGTCCTAAAAGAAAAACGCAGGATTGTCAGTATTGCTCCTAATCATAAAAACAAGACATTTCGTGCGCAGCTGCAGTCATATACCCCGCAATCGAACCAAACAGCATCACTGAGCAAAAAAGCCCGCCTTGACAGTGCCATGCCACGTCCCACACACTTTTGGGATCGTGGCTCTATGTGAACTAGCGTGCGCACAAAGCAGTGGACAGCTTGAAGGCAAAGCGTGCGATCATTCGCCATCACAGATAGTGGATTAGGGGTTTGCATGAGGACGACAAGGTCTTGGGTAAGTCGATAGTGTAGAAAAAATGCAGAAAAATCATGCCAGCGCCCTAAATAGAACCCCATCTCGGTCGTCTGTACGTGCTCAATATCTCCAACAGTGCCCTCCCCCCTATCCGCATAGCTGATCCCCCGATAAGAACTCTACGACCGTACAAGTGACGATTTTCACGCTTTTCCGCCCTGCAATTTCGTTTTTCACGGAAAGGCGAGCCTTGAAGGCGGTATAACGCCCCTCCCTCACAAATTTTGCAAGGATACCGGTACAAGGTTGTTCGTCACGGACCACACTACCCTCCCGCCTAACTTTCAACTAATATACCTGATTTCGCGGACCGTGCCTTCGAGGCAGGGCACATAACTAGTTGGGGCTTTCAATCAAGTCCGTACACCCCTCCCCCCCCCCCGATTCCCTCCTCACCGAGCTGTCGAGGGGGGGAGGAAGGGTAAATAGCACGTGTGGAAGGGGAAGAGCCGCCAAGGAAAGCGACCCCTCCTCCCCAACGAACAAATACGACCTCCCCCCTTCGCAGCGTCTGTGAAACAAGAGAAATGAACTGTCGAAATAAATTTTTCAGCCCAAATACGAGCCCCTTCTCCCAGCGACCAAATACGACCCCCCCCCTGTCGGGGAATTCCCACAACGATGTGCCCTGGTCTAGGGGTTCCCCGAAGAGGGCGACGAAAATTCCGTTGGCACTAGGTCACACGCAGCGAGGCCAAACTCATTCAACATGGCATTGCAGCAATGCCAGACCACCACCTAATTAGGAGCCATTGGGTTGGTCATAAGTGGTGACCTTGTTTTCCTCACAGATGAAGATGGAATGTTTCCTTGACACGTTCTATGATATTTGGTAAAGAATGTCCGGCTCCTGAGAATAACATAAATAAGTTACTGTACTCCCCTTCTCCCAGCCCTGGGGTCGCTTGCCGGGAAGTCTCGTGAGGTTGCCGACCTCATGAGACGAAGGAATATCCAAGTCCTATGCCTTCAGGAAACGCGATGGAAGGGTGCGAAGGCCCGCGAGATTGGAGAAGGCGTCAAACTCTTCTACAATGGAGCAGACACCAAACGGAATGGCGTGGCCATAGCGGTGGCAGAATCCCTCAAGGACTGCGTCTCCTCTGTGAACAGGATCAGTGACCGGATCATGGGAGTGAGAATGGACACGAAGGAGGGGTACTGGACAGTACTGACCGTGTACGCACCACAATCCGGTTGCTCCGAGGCGGAAAAGGATGAGTTCTACCTGACCCTGGACGAGGCCATAAGATCGGTTCCGGAAGATGACTACCTCACCATAGCTGGGGATCTGAATGGCCATGTGGGAAATGACAGAAGGGTCTAAAAGGGTGCACGGAGGCCAAGTAGGTGCAAAGAACGCTGAGGGAGAACGGATCCTTGACCTAGCCACAGCTCACGACTTAGCAATCTGTAGCACCTTCTTCGCGAAAAGGAGGACTCAGAAGATAACCTACAGCAGTGGAGGGAGACAAACGGAAATCGACCATGTCCTGGTCAGAAGATCGTCTCTCAAAACCGTCAAGGATATCAAGGTACTGCCTGGGGAAGAGCTGGGCCCTCAGCACAGGCCTCTCCTGGCAGACATCGCCATAGACCTCCCCAAGAAGACAAGGGTGAGAGCAGAGCGAAGAATTCGGTGGTGGAAAATGCGCAAGGTAGAAAAGGATAGCCTCGGCCGAAGAATACTGGAGGCTGGGCTCCCAGACCCACATGGGCCAGTCCAGGACACCTGGACCTACGCAGCAGAGGTCATCCTACAGTGTGCAAGGAAGTCCTGGGAGAGACGCGAGGTGGTATCAGAGGAGACAAGGCAGCCTGGTTCTGGAACGAGGAAGTCCAGGGGATCGTCAAGCAGAAGAAGGAAGCATATAAACGCTGGCAAAAGACACGGAGCCCAGAAGACTACGCTGCCTACAAGAGCTGCAAGCGACTCGCTAAGGCAGCCGTTGCTAAGGCCAAGAATACGGAAATGGACGCCCTGAAGAAGGAAGCATACAAACGCTGGCAAAAGACACGGAGCCCAGAAGACTACGCTGCCTACAAGAGCTGCAAGCGACTCGCTAAGGCAGCCGTTGCTAAGGCCAAGAATACGGAAATGGACGCCCTGTACGAGAAGGGGAGCGACCTAGCAGCTGATGGCAGCGTGGACCAGGCGGTGAAGGCCCGAATCAACGCAGCCTGGATGAAATGGAGGGAGTCCACTGGCATCCTGTGCGACCGGCGGTGCTCGAGAACGCTCAAGGGCAAGGTGTACCGGGCGGTGGTAAGGCCTACAATGCTCTACGGCAGTGAGTGCTGGCCCATCTGCAAGAACCATGAAAGGCAGCTCCACTCAGCTGAAATGAGGATGCTGAGATGGGCCTGCGGTTGGACACGACTCGACAGAGTCAGAAACGAGGACGTCAGGGCGGTCACACAGACGGCTCCGATCCAGCTGAAGGCACGAGAGCAGCGACTGCGATGGTATGGGCACGTGCTGAGAAGGCCTGAGGACCACCCAATAAGGAAGGCATTGGAATTCGAAGCAGAGGGCAAGCGACCACGAGGAGCCCCAAAGAAAAGATGGAGGGACGTCATCAAGAAGGACCTCACTGAAGTGAAAGCCACGGCAGAAGATGCAGTGGATCGGAACAAGTGGCGACGTCTAACAAGAACAGCGGACCCTGCGACGGCGCGGGACTAACGCTAGGGAGAAGAAGACTCCCCTTCTCCCAGCGACCCGAATAGTACACTTTGTTATATTTTAGGGCAATACAGCTGAGTGTAAAGGTGACGAAAATAAGCGTTCTCGACACCAGCTTCTCTCGTTTGATCGAGTACTAGAATCTAGAAAGGTCCGAAGTTTGTGTATTATACGGACAAGGGTTTTGTCTCTTATAACAACTTGAAGGCAGAGGCCACATTCGATCATTCATTCTGCTCTTCGCCAGTCATTATGCTTCTTATGTAGTAACATGAAGGCAACAACCTATCAGTGAAGAAAAATAAAAAAAGAGATAGTAGGGAAGGCTTCATATAGAACTACATGCTGAAATGAGGTTGTCAGGTTTGCGTGCCTGAGGGCATTTTCGCGATTAACTAAGATCATAAGCTTCAGAATGTGCCAGATGATCACTCAGGTGATTGTAGGGGCTGTGGCGCATCTAAAAAGTCAAAAAAGTAAGAATTCCCATAAATGTTCGACAACTAGGCCCATTGGCACCCCTTACTATCAGGCCCATGGCAACCCCCAAAGGCCATGCCCAATGATACGTTGCACGGATAGCGAGCGCTGGACTTCGAGCATACGTTGCTTGGAAGGTTGTCGGAAATAGTTGCGGCAGAACAGCTGATTAAGCCTTTCTGTCCTCTCCCTTCTGCATTTTTTTGTCTTATTCTTTCGTTCTATCGACATTCATGCACTCGTGCATAGGACCGTCAAAGAAGTTGATTTGTGTGGTTTATTTAGTGTTTGTTTGCTTGTTTGTCAATTTAGAATTCTACGATGCCTAACATTGAACAGTCTACTTGAAATCGCATGCTCTATGTGTGTTTGCTCCCAGGATGATGGATTTGGAACGGTTAGGTACTATTTTTAAGTACCTTTTTTGATCGTGCGTGTTCGTTCCCTGAGTTCCTCCCCTTCTAGGCAGAGGCATCGTTGACAACATGATTCATCAAAACTAAACAGGGTGTGGGTTGACGTAGTACGAACTGCAGAGCTTCCCAGGACAGTGGACACGCGACTAAAGTGTGATATACCAAATTGTCCAGTTCTCTATGTCTTCTTCAAAACACATGAAGCTCTCGCAGACCACCCTGTGCTCAACTGATCCCTCAGATTTCCACGTGCGCCCAATAATAAGTGGGGTAGGGGGCCCCTGACAGGATTTCATGGCTTCAAACCTTGTGCTGGTGCAGCTGCTGCAATTCATCCCTGCCCACCTCAGTAATACTGCCCACTTGCTCGATTTGCGGGTGGCCAGGTTCAGACGGAACCATGTGATGGAATCGTTTGACGTAACATCCCTCTACACAAACGTGTCAAACGAAGGAGCCATGCAGGCCACCTTTGAACTCCTTAGTGAGCATGAAGCATCGATCAACATGTATGGCCTGTCGACAACCCACATAATGACACTTGTTAAAGAGTGTCTCGATTGTTCCATTTTTAGGTGGTCCGGCCAATACTACAGGCAGCTCAGAGGTTTGGCCATGGGTCAGCGGCTGGCACCAGTCTTAGCGATTGCCTACATGTCCAAAATAGAACAACCGTTACTGGATCGCCGACCCATTTTGTACAGACGCTACATAGACGACTGCCTCATCGTCTGCACCACGGAGAAGGAAATGGACTCGTGCTTCAACCTTCCTTAATAGCCAAGCTGAGAATATCCGGTTCACAAGGGAGAAGCCTTCTAATAGTTGGCTCTCATTCCTCAATGTGCAGATCCAGCTTGAGCGCGGGTTCTATCGGACCAAATGGTACCGAAAACCACCAACAAGAACATCTTAGTCCATTTCCGGTCGGCGCATCCTCTGGGGACCAAACGGGCTATCAACAGGAACATGTTCAGGACAGCCAAAATGGTCTCATCAGGTGAGAAGGAAAGAGAAGAGTCCCTGGAGTTAGCTCGGAAAATAACCCTCTCCAATGGCTACCCCCCAAAAGGCAAATGCCCCCCTGGACCACCCACTAGGAGCCAACAAAGTCCTGTGACCGAGGGTTGGGAGAAGGTACCATTTTGCCTACCCTTTCGTAAGTAATTAGGCTGCTGTGAGATCGTCTTTGCGCAGGTGTGGTCTCGACAATATGGTTCGGTGGTCGAGATCCCTCCTGCGAGCCTCAAGC